AAACGTTCCCCCAAATTTTCAGCTTCTTAGCTTTTGTGGTTCCCGAGTTGAAAGTTGCGGACAAGTTGCCGCGGACACACACACACACACACGCACACACAAACACACACACAGACAACCCTGTGACAATATGCACAGCACAAAACGCATTAAAAACTGATCAGTTCTTCCCTTCTTTCCTCCGCTTATGATTTTGATCAGATAATTACTATTCCCAGAAGTTCATCGTCCCATACGTATATAATTTAACAGCATTAACTCTACTTCGCTCGTCCAGTTAAAAAAAAAGCTTTTAATTGGAGAAAACTAGTGTACCTGTGGCAACTGAGTGCTCTTGCCGCATCCCGTCTCGCCGATTACTATCACAGCACGAAATTTCTCTAACAGATACAATATATGACTGCGATACTGAAATACTTTTTCCGAATAACAATCCATGGTAATATTCAACAGTCTTTTTCGCAAAAACTTTAAATTTGCATCATTTTCGAATTTTTCGTCTGTTTAAGAGAGAAAAAAAATTTCCGCCTGCATACAAAGCAGTTGCTATATCACAAAATATTTTTTTCGGCAATCTCTTTCACTCAACCATTCTTGCTCTATGAAAAAGACAGTACGGGCCATAGATACCCTAACCACATCATATGTACTATATTTTGTTAGTTATGAATGCGCAGTTTAATTCCATAGTGTTTTATTGAAGTCCTTGTGCAACATCCCATCCAGCTGGCTATTACCATAACTTTTCGCGATCATTCTACCTCCCGAATATTATTGCTTAAATTCTAATCATCCATTATTACTTCACACCTCGATTATCTGTTCTTACATTCTCAGTCTCTCCTCGCTATTTATGAATCTGACAACCTCCTCACGTATTTCAAGCCTCCAACATTCCAACAATTCCAAACGATATTTAACTGGATTCCACCACTGAAGCCTCCTTTGTACCCCCTTCCCATCACGCTGATACCACCCATTAAATCCACTTTGTCCATTTCGCGTTTTTGCCAAATGAAGAGCCAACTTCCTCTGCTAGCGTACGTTCTCCCGATAATATGGTTCACATGAGAGGGCGTACGCTGCCCCTCTATTTTAGTCAATGGCCACATTTCGCATCCGTATGCCGCTGCTTTCAACACAGTGCTATTTAAAAGATGGCATGGCCCTTTCTGTTTGATAATTTGACTATAAATGACAAAAATTAGCAGCTAGAAAATGCTGTATAAAATAACATAAGTCATGCATCCAGGGACGGCTAAGTGGCATTTGAAGCACGAAAATATACTTTGAAAATAGGAAGACGGGAACGCTGCTGTTGAATGGAGAGTGCCAGAAACGGATTGCTAATAACAAGGCTTGCATTTTCTTCACTGACAAGTCGCTCTTCCATCAAAAGTGAACCACTGCGACTGCTCTGATCAATGGCATCATCACCTGAAACAATAAAAACCGATCCAGAAATTTATGTGTCGCTTTGCAATCATTTCAAGGGACAGGAGCTGAAAGAATCTGAGGGCACTCGTGCTGCCCCTCCACAAATTCGGTTTCCCTAATTAATTAAAAATAAAGGAACTGATAGTTAACTAAAAATAAAAGAACCGATATTTTTGCACAGTACTGCTCATGTTATTCAAATATACATACGTGTTTCAAAAGAAAAATTTCTGAAGAATGTACGAAAATTTGGAGCATTATATTGGTGCTATGAATGCATATTTGCTCACTGCACATAATTCTGAAACAGAAACACTAATCCTATTTATTTGAGGTTAATACCTGAGGTCAG